CGCTGAAGTATACACGACCATCGAGAACGCAACTTTACGGGATATTTCTTATTTCGCGTCAGAAAATTGAACATTCTATACTTTACGCCAGGTAGTTACTTTATTTCAACAGCTGTTCAGATATTCCGCCTCGAACGTTTAAATATTTTGTTACCGGCTTCTTTCGTTTTTCATTTCTCGTTTATGTTGTAGAACGGTTAACGTTTATCTTAACTTTCGCGTTATCGATCGAAACAAAATGCTACGAGCACGCTTTGGCTCATAAAGAATTCCATTGCGTTTGCTATAAATGCTTTCCTGTAAATTTTCTTTCTCTTAACACGTTGACTGCCAGACCAAACCCCTAAAATTAAAAGGAAAATTAAATTTTGTTTTTAGACAATTGGAAATTGGCATACCAAGAATTTGTCATGGAATTTATTTCCACAGACTCGTTAAAATTCAAGGGCCCTACCTAGCTTTATTTTCTTTTACATCTATTCTTGGGAATTAATTTTTTTAACTCCGTGGCAGTCAATGTGTTAATGGGGGGTTGTAGGATATTATAAAAAATTGAGTCAAAGTGTATTTGAAAAACAACTTGAAAAGTAAATTAATATAAAGAAAACCATCTTACGTGAAGAAGCAACAAAAAGAGAACTTTGTTATACGGGGTTAGCGAGAAATTAAAGACATCTGGTGCTAAATTTTCGGTCTGTGGGCGTGCACGGTGGTCCTAATGCCTTCCGCGGAACGCTGGCAAACAGCGATGCATCACCGGTTTTCCAGAAACGCGAGCGATTTATGCGCTGGAATCTCAGAGCTAGCTCAGGGAACGGAACAATTTTTCAGAATTATTGCCCGGCGTGCGGCTATCCGTCGATGGACGAGAGCCACTTCTGCCTCGATCGCGATTCATTTCCATGCGAGGTATCCTTTATCCTGCTCCTTCCCTCCCCCTCCCTCCCTCCACTCCGCTCCGCTCATTCCACGCGCCACGTACACGCGGACGAGTATATATACGTTCGTGGATTGAATCGGATTCGAAGGCCATTCGGTCGCGCGTGGTCTATCGGCCGATATTTCCGATCGTTCGACGGAAATCGATCACCCCGTTCACGGTTAACGGAGACACTTGGGTTTCATAACGGTCGCGGACGATTTCGCGGGAGTTTCAGTTTCCCATCGAAAAGCCGCTGCACTTTATGACGCGACGCTCGAAAGGCCATTTTATGAGAATTCCGTGAAAACTAGTCCTCCCTCGATCGATCACCCCCCTCGCGAGAACCTTCCTGCGAATATTTACGAGTGCTTTCGGAAGGATTCAGCTTCAGAGGCTCGCGTTATCTCCCACACGTTTCTCAATGTTATTAAAAAAAGTTCTGGGCCTTGTACAGTCACCTTATAAGGTGATATAACATTTTATTGTCACGAGACGGGAGTCTAAAACCAGAAATTACCGATCCTGTTATTTTTATTTATTTTTATTTCATTTTGTTTATTTAGTGCACGTGATATACGCGTTCGAGTACATATTTACATTTCGACGGAGTTTGGTATATTTATTTGAGTTTGGTCGACCGGGAAATTGATTAGATTATAACTCGAAGCGTTCCAACCTCGTCTCGTGGCTGCGATACAAACTGACACAATTATTTTTATTTTATTTATACGTCGATGATTCTCACCCACAATTTCACGAAGACTAACAACATTAACACGTCGACTCTCAGACGAAACCTCAAATTGTATCTACGAGGTGCCTCTACGAGATGTAATCTTGAGAATTCATTTTTTTAGCTCCTTTAGTGAAAAGTTATGTTATCCTTGTAAAAGTTGAGAGATTAATATCATCGAGATTGGTTCTCTTTATATAGCTATATTTACATAAACCAATTTTGTTACTCTCGATCAGAATCTGAATGTATCGTTTAACCCCTTGACGTACGATTTAATTTCAAACAATTTGTCAAACCTATACTATTTAATTTTGTTTTTCTTACTAGAATTGGCCACGAAAAAGGATAGATTTTTTTTTTAATGGTTTAACGTCGCATCAACTACATGGTTATTAGCGACATCGGCACAATAAACAATACTTATAATAGCTTATTGAAAAGTCCAGTTTCTCTAAGAAATGAGAGTACGCTCTTCATTTTATGACCGACGAGGTTGTCTTCGAGGTCAGGTTTCAAACTATGTTCCATACGGGTCCTGTTGTATTTGGAACAGCTTATCATGGAGGTGTTCAATTGTCATTCTCTCAGAGCACTCATCACATATAGTAAGAGTGAGTCATTCTAGAATGTCCAATCCTTATGGGATAGATTTGTTTTACGAATGCCTCGTGAATGTAAAACACGTCATCGAGAACTTGTAACAAGTTGCAGCCTGTCAGTTGTAATTTTTCGAAACGTCGGGACAGGTTTGCGTCCCGTTCGTAACTTCCGTCGCGTAATCGTTCCCGTCCACGTTAATTTGGAACGTCGCGGTCAAAAGCGAGCACCGATTAATTCGTCCGCGACGGAAACGCTCGTCGAAGCGCGCCGACTCGTCCCGAATTTCGAGGGGCGGAAAAAAAGATTCAACGATCGCTGGACAGTGTCTGCGATTAAACGGCCGGCCGTGGCCCGGTTTCCAGCGGCGGCTGAAATTTTTCGGTGCGGCGATTCCGCGCGTTACGGAGGATCAGTTTCCGGTCAGCTAATTCCGGCCTCAGGTTTTGGCCCGGCCGGGCGCAGCCGAGCCGGAAATAACGAATGAATCCTAGCCCCGTCGACTGTTCTGCGCCAATGGCGTTCCACCGTACGCAGACGTACACACGGTGTAACGTTGTTACACCGTTCTGGTCACGGCCACGCCAGCGTCCGTTTCATTTCCGCGATGACCGTTAATTACCGCTCGGTATACGCGCGGTCTTCGTTTCGATACCGCGGAGAGCAATTCGAATTCGTTATGATAAATTGCCATCCGGCCGAACGGGCACATTTCGAAACTTACGGACGAAGGTTGACGCGACACGATACGCGAACGCGTCGATCGATTTATGATCGTCGATTCTGGGCGCGAGAAAATATGGTTTTTTGATCGGAGGTCATCTTTGATACGAACTGTGACGGTTGAAATTAAAGGCAATTTTCAAGAATTTTTCTGAACGTAACTATGAAACTTTTTCTTATGAATGTGCATTGTCGAAAGTGCATTTCTTGAACTGCTTCTTGTAAAAATTTCGTATGAAAATGTTGATTATTATATCCGTAATAGGAACCAGCATGAGAGGCCTCCTAATGTTTGTTAGAAACGGTAGGACTTTGAATTTTTCACTGCAAATTGGGAAGCAAGAAATCATGCAATTTTCTTAAACTATAAGACAGTAGCTTCAGTTGCGCTTTCAGAAAAAATTTCATTGAAATCCATTGACTATTGTAAAATTGGACCACTTTTATGGGGTTTTTCTTACTTTACGGGGTTAAGGAACGACTTTTCAAATATTGTTAAAATTTCTACATATTCTTCATTAAAATACGCGTTCTTTGCATTCCGAAACTTTAAAATCCTTCAATCCGTTCAGAAGTTACGACGTTTCAAACATATGCATGAAATTTCAGTAGAATCATCCAGTATATGGTCAGACATTATATTCTCAGTAAAGAATTTTTTTTCTCGAAAGTGCGTAGGAATTCGAGGGTATGTCTATTCACCAAAAATGATTGTAATTGACCCCCACAGCCAAAAATAATTTTTTCAAAACGATTTGAAATTTTTTTTTCGCCTAGCCCCTGTCGAATTTTCTTAAAAATTTTCTTAAGAATTACACTATTTTAGACGATTAATCTCTGCTTAAAATGAAAGGATCACGCAAAGACTAATGAAACGACGCTGTGATTTACGATATTTTTGTCCATTATTAGTCACGCTTTAATTATGAAGTTTCGTGCCGTAAGAAAGCTCTCGAAACTGATTATCGAGGATCTATACGCTAATTAAATTTATAAGCGAACTTTATATTCGAACCTCTTATCCTTGATGAATTAGTAAATGTCTCTTTGCAAAAAGTCTTCGGACTTTGGACGAGTCTTCCTGGCGACGAAGTTTCGCCTTAGGCTGCCGTTCCTCTTTGATTACATTTTTTCATCGTTAAGTTTCCTCCTCGGTTAAGCGTTCGCGGCAGAAAAGTTCCTTAAAGACTTCGGAAAAAAATTCTATTAGCGGAAGTTAGGGCTCTCGATAGTTAACTGCATGTTAAGGGGGAAGTCAATTTCACCGTGATTACTAATGGATCGAGATTATAGACGAATCGTCACCTCCGATGAAAACTCGAATATTATAGAATGCTACCTTACAAAAAGAAAATTAAGTTATTAAATACTACGCTAAAAAATTAGGGCAGTGTGTTGCAATTGCATTCAAACTATTCATTTTCGAACGTTATAAGAAACTTATAAGAAACCTACGTTCCTTTATGAACACCTTAATATTCAAACATTTATAGATCGCAAGCTTCGAATGTTTCATTCTTCGATTAACTTTAACAATTCATGGCACTTGATTTTTGTACAATTACTTGAAACACGAATAGGTAATATCACAATAGATTATGTTCAATACTTTCTTTGTTATCACGTCTACCTTTTATAAATACAAATTATAAGTTATATGATCTCACTAAACATCGATCTCTTTCACCAGCTATGTACTTTTTAAGACTCTGAGTCGTGTTAAAAATATATTGTTGGTACAAATTGATATTCGACACAGTGTTCCAAGAATCGTACAATAACGTAGACGTATAACCATTCCGGCGTGAAACTTTACGAGTGCGTCGTTCAATTTCCCCGCTGGTGCTGTATCAATGACGACGGGGACGCGTTGATAAGAGGATTCGAGATAGATTGAACGTAATTGGAACATTGAGACAGCGCAGCTGGCTAACTATGCATAGCGTTACCGAGCGTTAGTATTCCGTCGCGTTGCCAACGGTTAGATCCAATTTAATGTTCTGCTCGCTCCTTGGATTTCAGATCTGGACACGATGCTATATGGATACACGAACAACATATATGTGCTGGACCACACTCCTGAATCATTACCGGTAAGTACAATTCAGAACACCGCAGGCCAGTTAGACGCGACTCTTAATCGGACTCTAATCGGGTTCCTCTTTGTTATTCAAGTTTAAGGAGACCAGGCAATCAGATTGAGCCTTATTACAAAAAAAAAAAAAAAAATGGTTTGGTATAAATAATTTCTCTTTCACACGATGTTTTGGTAGCTTAAAATGTATACGAATGCAAATTTTTTATCGCAAAATCTCGTCAAACAACTATGTTCAGTTTGTCAGTTTTGTTATTGTTCAATGTCGAGCACTTCAACAATAATTTATTTTGCAGTAATTTCTCTTCTCCAAGTGAAACGAATCGAATGTACCAAACCCCTACTTTGCACCGAACCTATTTAAATATTAATCAAAATTATGAAAATAGCGGATTAAATATGAAAAATAAAAATTTTAAATATATTTGAATAATAATGCTTTCGAAATAAAAATAAAGAATCGATTTTCTGACTAGGTCCCCGTAACTTTGTCATTGAAATCGCGATTGCTCGGTTTGAAATTATTATTCGCGAAAAGAGCGAACCCCCCCGTCGTTCAGAAATTATAAATTTCATTGGCAACGAAGCAGAACGCCGTCGAACAATTTTTCAGGCCAGTAATTTCTGTTATAGAATAGAGAAACGAGTAATTTTAATCTCGCGACGTATCGCCGCACTCGCGGCAAATTAATGGCCCCGGAGAATTTGTTCGAAGACAAAGGATGAAATTGGCGGGCGCGGAATTCACCATGTATCGTCGGAGTAACGAAAATATAGAAATATCGTGGAAAATTAACGAACAGCAATTATTTGTGAAAATATAAATCGGATACGCGGAACGAATTATCGGCGCCGCGTTTGGTTTTCGAGGAAATCAGTAAAAATCCTAGTTTACGGTCAACAAACGAACAATTAAAATTCGAGGAAGCGAAACACGTTTATTCGAGAAAATCTTGAGCATTCTTAAAGTTTGGTTCCGTTTCGCGGAAAATGCGAGATCGGTTTGCGTTCCGCTAACCAGAAATTTAATTAAATTCAACGATGCCGGATCGCGTTCGACTTTGTTTCCAATTAAACTTGGCGGACGCTCGTTTCGTCGAACGGCCGAGTTTCATAATAATCGTGCGGGTATGGTACGCGAATTTCTCGCAATACGCGGCGATATAACGAGACACGTGAAATTTCGGGGCGAATCGAATCGATGCGGAAAACGTAATTCTTTCGCGAATTCGTCTCAATTATCGGTAATCGAACAGCCAAGGTAAAACAAAATAACCTATTTAGCTGAATTTAATTTAAACTATCGTTTCTACTTTTGTTTCTACGTTTAATCGATTATAGCAAATACGACCGATACTCCATCGATTAAATTATCATTTAATTAATTAAAAATACCTGCGTGGTCTCCCATTAGTATCGAATTGCACATTTCCATAATTGAATATAATTTTATAATAATTAACAAGTTCAGTGTCTGTATCCAATAACGAGGCGATACGACCCATATACGGGTCATGGACAGTGAACCGTGTTAAATATATTTAAACATGCTAGATCGAGATGCTTAAAAAGTCGCGGATATCGTGAAACGCAACTTGTTTTCGTATCAGCGAGGGAAAATCGTGCCAACTGACCGATCGCTGGAACGCGTACAATTGCTCGTGCAGCTAACCTACATTTGAATAATCGCTGGGTGTCTCGAATAACGAAAAAAAAGTATATGCATCCCGATTTCGGTAGAAATGGGTCGGTCAGTTTGAAACGCGACTCCGCCTCGTACATTGCAATCGTTTTATCTGGTCGTTCGATATTAATCACCGGTTAAACAGCTAGTCGTGTCCGCTTATCATTGTCCGCCGAACGAAACGACCCACTCCATCGTCCCGTTTTACAAGCAACCAGAAAACCTTTGCACTCGGGATGGGGTAGAGCGTACCGAAATCGTGTAAAACGTGGCCACGATTATGAATTAAGTTAATTAGCCGTCGAACAAATGGATCCTGCTCGTTAGCAACAGCCGAGTTTCGATTTTCCGTCGACTACGGGTTTACGAGCGGAACCATCGTACAATAACGACGCGTTTTCTTTCGAACAAACGCGTAATATGCAACGGAGAACGTAAAAATGCAGATCCTAACACGTTTCGCCCCCAATCGATTCCTTTTACAATCTGGCGCCACGTTCGAGGCCATTTGTAACGCCGAATTCGCCTACCATTAATAATCCGAGACCAAAACGAATTTGTAGTAACTTCGTAACTAAATTATTTGCCGCGACGGGTCGGTTTCAAATTTTATTTTCCGAAGAACGATCCATCGTGACACCAAGGATGTTGACACATGAATTTTAATAAAATTTGACAGATTTGTAGATTCGTACGTATGATTTTCTTTCGCGAAAATAAATAATCGCGTGACACGATATTTACATTGTTATTCAATAAAATATTTCATCCAAATAACGTTACTATCGTTCACGCGATACTTTTATTATATCGACTTCGTTGAAAAAAGTAGAGAAGCATTTTGGAGTTCGGTAAATCACGAAATTGAAGATAGGAACTTTATCGAGGACTTTTATTCGAAAGAACTCAATCTACTTCTACCAAGAAAAATGTCTGTACTCTGCAATCGTGCCGTCGTATCCTTCGGTCGAAATTTTCTTCATAAATTCCGGGACAATGAAGAAGGATCGTCGTTAGTTTGCAGGATAATGTCTTTGTTCTCCGTCTTCGTTAGCACCTCTTCGATGTCGTACTCATTTTATTTATTTCTATGCACCCTTTCTTGCGAATCTCAGAAGCAACGTCCAGAAAGCTTGTATACGTATTCTTTTTAACAGCAAAATCACAACTTTACGGAACGAAATTACTCTGTAAAGTTTGTTTCATCCTGACTATTCACAGAAAATTAATAATTTTTATATTATTTATTGTCGTCTTTTTAATGGCTATGTATTACTTCTAATAATTTTTCAATAGACAATTCAAGTCAAGAAAGTAAACGTTTCACTTGGCTATCTACTGCTTTCCCGATTGATATACTATTATTTAAGTATAAGAAAATCGTTGTATTATTGTTACGTGAGCATCGATCGTAACACAATTTGGCTAGAATATTTTATTTGTTTATTTTACGCAGCTTCAGGTGTACACTTTCAATTTAAGTAGTAATATCAACGATAAGGGAAACAGTCATCATTCAGACTTTCGATTATAGAATATCATTTCATATTGATTAAATGTACAGTTGAGACGATGTATTTACACCGAACAAATTGTATTTGTATGGCTTGAATAGGTATCTTTATTTGCACGCTGTCGATTTAAGTAGTAATATCAACGATGAGGGAAACAGTCATCATTCAGACTTTCGATTATAGAATATCATTTCATACTGATTAAATGTACAGTTGAGACGATGTATTTACACCGAACAAATTGTATTTGTATGTCGTGAATAGGTACCTTTATATATACGCTGTCGATTTAAGTAGTAATATCAACGATGGGGGAAACTATCATCATATAGACTTTTGGATGACAAATTCGACGAAAGAAAATGATTAAACAGTGACTGAATCAACGTAACTTGCACTTCTGATGTATCTATTTTCCATTAAAAACTATATAAAATTTATTTGTAAAACTTGTACCTTCGTTAAGGGATGATATTTCTTGTCAGACATGCGTTGATTGGATCCCGCGTACATTGTACGCACCCTGTATACAACATCTCAGTACGTACATATATAGGACATTTCGTGTACCCTGTACACAAGGCCGAACGTAATTTGCAGGAATTCCGATTCCGTGGCGACATAGACATTGAATTTCCGCTGCCTCGCCGCGTAGAATTGAATCGATCAATCAGTCGCATTCACGGTAATTAGGTTGCCGGATAAAGTGTTTACCGTTGGACCCCGTTTATATTTCGCGAAGGTTTCCCTGTCCTTGCGTGTATCAATTCGGTTCCAAGCAATTACGACGACCAGACAGAGGGGGGGAGGAGGGGAGGCTGAAAAAATGTTTTACTTCCAGAGATGTTGCGGGGGAAAATTAACGACCGAAAGCCTGGCCAGCTTATTTGTTCGCGAACCGTGCCTCCACTATCTCGATGTTTGAGCACGATCATCAGCCAGCGGTTTGCGTATTGCCGTGTACATTTCGCGAGTGCTCTCGCCGCGATTGGCTTTAATCGTTCGTAAACTCCGTTACAATAATTCGATTGTTCCCGCGTCATCGTCCATCGATACGAAACGCGAGAAAAACTGGAGATTCTCGAGGCGCGTGAAAATTTCATAGTGCACCGTGTTACATAAGTTATGTAAACAAATTGAAAACGTCTATATCGCAAGGACAACAAAATTTATTTTTCTAAGGATCTCTATACTGTCGATACGTTGATTAAATTTTAAATTACAATCTTCGCCCTGGTAGAACAGTTTTAATCCCGAAAATGAAATTTGGCGAAGCGAGAAACTCCACGAGCCACCGGTTTTTGTAATGAAAAATAATCAAGTACCGCCGTAACGATTTTCCTATCGCGTTTTTCGGTGAACGCATTGCCCCGTTGGCGGGCGTTGAAAGCGCTCGGGAAAACGGGCTTCCCAAAATGGGAGCTATATCGACGTGCACGCAATGCAAAGAAACGTTAGCTTTCCGGGTGCATCGACGGAATGTAAAAGATACTCGCGTTCTTTGTAAACATGTACGCGTGGTCTGGCAACGTTATAGAAAACCGGGGGCTTGGCGGTAACTTCGATAAACGAGCTTGTTAAAGGATACCTCCGTTTGGAAATGCTCTCCTTTCAGGGGAGAATCGGGAGAAATTTTCTTCTTTTTATTGTTTTCCAATTTTTAATGATAACGAGCAATGCTCCCGCTCCGTAATGCCGATGGTTGCTTTTCTCAAACTCTCCGTTAATGTTCGAGTCGAACGAGAAACTGCTGACGTATTCGGAACTTTGCATACCCGGTGATTTTATTCAAATTTTTTT